AAGAGATCACTGATGGATCGTTGGCTTTTAGCCATCCACTTATTTCTGACACTTTCGGGTTTTTATCTCAATAATGGCGCAAACAAACTCACACGTTTCTGATCCTGGTGTAATTGCTAATCCAGGCAACCGGTATAAAAACTATATACCATTTGCCTAATAAAATATTTATGTCCTGTCATCTCGGCATATTTTCCTTTTGCTGTAAGCAAATGCTTCCACGGAAGCTGGAACTCTGCACGATCTGATTTCTAACTGATCAAAGCAGGGGGGGGGAGAGCTCCCTGCTTGCAGGCAAATGCTTTGTTCTTCCTTCATCCTCTCAGTGTAAGTTGTGCAGGCTCTAGTCACCTATTTTCACATGCAACTAGAACAGAATGCTGGAGCAGAATTAGGAGGCATTTCTCTTGCAGCTACAGGGAATCCTTGGCTTATAACCATTCATTTAGCAACCAAAGTGGCAGTGACACGGAACAAAGTGACTTACGAGCGGTCCTTGCACTTACAACCCTCGTAGGAGGGGTGAAATCCAGCAGGTTCTGACAGGTTCTGGAGAACCGGCAGCGGAAATTTTGAGCAGTTCGGAGAACCGGCAGCGGAAATTTTGAGTAGTTCAGAGAACCGGCAAATATAACCTCTGGCTGGCCCCCGAGTGAGGAGGGAATGGAGATTTTGCAGTATCCTTCCCCTGGAGTGGGGTGGGAATGGAGATTTTGCAATATCCTTCCCCCAGGAGTGGGGAGGGAATGGGGATTTTGCAGTATACTTCCCCTGGAGTGGGGTGGGAATGGAGATTTTGCAATATCCTTCCCCCAGGAGTGGGGAGGGAATGGGGATTTTGCAGTATCCTTCCCCTGGAGTGGGGTGGGAATGGAGATTTTGCAATATCCTTCGCCCAGGAGTGGGGAGGGAATGGGGATTTTGCAGTATCCTTCCCCTGGAGTGGGGAGGAATGGGGATTTTGCAGTATCCTTCCCCTGGAGTGGGGAGGAATGGGGATTTTGCAGTATCCTTCCCCTGGAGTGGGGAGGAATGGGGATTTTGCAGTATCCTTCCCGTGCCACCGATGCCCTGATCGAAATTCAGATGCTTCGCAACCAGGATGTGTTTATGAAGTTGTAATACAGAAAGTCATCGGTCTACGTAAAGGGCAGCCAGGCTAATAATTCTCAAGTCCTTGTTGGTGTGTTTGCATGTGTTTGTATATGCAACATGGGCTAGTGGCACAGGCTGAATATTGAGAACATGTTAACAGATAGTCCTTGACTTACAACGATTGAGCCCACAATTTCTGTTGCTAAGTGAAGCGTTTTTTAAGTGAATTTTGTCCTTTTACAACCTTTCTTGCCACGATTGTTAAGTGAACCGCTGCAGTTGTTAGCTTAGTAACATGGCTGTGAAGTGCATCTGGCTTCCCCATTGTCAGAAAGTCAGAAAAAATGATTCCGTGATCCCAGGTCACTGCAGCGGTCATAAATATGAGTCAATTGCCAAGTTTCTCAATTTTGATCATGTGGCCATGGGGATGCTGCAAAGGTGGTAAGTGTGAAAAATTGTGATAAGTCCCTTTTTTGGGGGTACCATTATAATGGTCACTAAACGAACTTTTGTAAATTGAGGACTACCTGTATTCTGGTTGCCATTTGTGACCTTTCCAGCTGGCTTCCAAACACAATGGGAAAAGCTGATTTGCTTAATGACTGATTCACAACTGTAATGATTCACTTAATAACCTTAGGTCACAAAATTGAGTGTGGCCCATTTAACTGGTCTTGCTTATCTCAGTTGTGGTCATAAATCAAGGAATACTTGTAACTTTTGAAGGCAAAGGTAGATCAAAGCTATGATAGGCCCTGGGCTTAACAGATAATGGGAGGACTTCTTCTTGCATCCCAAACTCTACTGACGTACTTGTACACACATAGATAAGACTGCAAATGTTCATATTTAGCTCCTCCTCTAGTGCCCCAAAGATAGGATGACTCCCAACTCTCATGGGCTTCCACAAGCTTGCAAGAACATAGTAGTTCTAGAAGGCTTTTAGAGAGATGAAACCGCCAGAATAAAAGCTACTTTGGATTTTATCACTGTTGTCTATTTTTACAATTCTGCAGTTGTATTATTTATTTGTATTTGCAACTGCCTATACAAGCTGCTCAGGTTGAAGCAGCAGATAAATCAGACAAATAAATTAAACATGCTCTCAATATTCAAGAGGTGCCATTAGTGCGTAATGTTGTTTGTACGAACACACTCACACAAACACACCAAGAGGGACTTCTTGTGAATTAGCCTGCCTGCCCATTACAAAATAGACAGATGACTAGTGTTCGGGATTTCCAGGCCAACAGGCAGTGAACGGGCCATTCTCCTTATCTATAGGTAGTCCTCGACTTACAACAGTTCATTTAGAGACCGTTTGAAGTTACAATGGCACTGAAAAAAAATGATTCATGATCGTTTTTCACACTTACGACCATTGTAACATCCCTATAGTCACGTGATCAAAATTCAGACAGTTGGCAACTGGCTCTTATTGATAATGGCTGCAGCGTCCCCGGGGTTGTACAATCAGCTTTTATGACCTTCTGACAAGCAAAATCAACGGGGAAACCCAGATTCACTTAACAATCGCGTTACTAACTTAACAATTGCAGTGATTCACTTAAAAAGTGTCACAAGAAAGGTTGTAAAATGGAGCAAAATTCACTTAATAAATGTCTCAGCAACAGAGATTTTGGGTTCAATTGCAGTCATATGTCAAGGACTATCTGTAAACATGCTCTCAATAGTCATTAACCCATAATATTGTATATACAAACCAGGAGTGGGTTCTAAATTTTTTTACTACTGGTTCTGTGGGCGTGGCTTATTTTGTGGGTGTGGCTTGATGGTCATGTGACAATTCTTTAGGATTTAGCAGAGGTACTGGTCTACCAGGCTTTTAACTGCTTGCAGAACTGTACCAATCTACCCATTTGTTTTTGGAGGCACTGGTCTACCCATTTATTTTTGCAGGCACCGGTCTACTCATTTGTTTTTGGAGGCACTGGTCTACCAGCACACTGCCTTTTAACACTGATCAGCTGTAGGGTGGCCCTTTGAAGCCCTGTGGCAAGAGTTTAAAGTTTTTTTCCTTCTAGCCGATCGGCTGGGACTCAGGAGGCAGCAATAGATTGGGTGTGGGGCCAAATAAAAGGTAAGAATAACGCGGGGGTGGGTGGGTGGGAGCAGAACCGGTTCGGTGACGTCATATCGTCACCCTACTGGCTCGGCCGAACCGGGAGGAACCTACCACTGATATACACAAACACACCAAGAAAGACTTGGGAATTAGCCTGGCTGCCCTTTACATAGACCGATGACTAGTGTTCTGCCAAAGTGGGATCTCCAGGCCAACAGGCAGTGAATGGCTACCCCCCTTACCTATTCGTAGAGAGCTCTGGGAAGAACAAGACCGACAGCCAGATTCAGAATCTGTATCCAGTGCTCAGTCCTTTTGAGTTCCAAAACACTGAAGCTATGTTGGTTGATATTCCCATGGGATGATTTAACAGGATTGGACAGAAAAGAAAATAAGAGTATATATGGAGGAGAAGAGACTACGTGAAGCAAATGAGAACAAAAGAGTGCAGAAAATAGGATGGAGATTCAAAGTTGACATTCGTCATCTCTTGACTAACCCCGGTTCACTTGGAGATTTAGGGCTAATCACTGCCTTCGCTCAACCTATCTCGGAGTATTAAAATAGGGCATGTTATGTTAAACCACATACATCTTGGGGAAAAAGTGGGATATAACCTTAATGAACAAAAAACATAAATCGTCATATTTATGTATCAAAGCTTTTGAGCTTAGCCACACAATTTCATATTTCTGGCTTCGCGGGTTAGATTTAGCCAATCATATATATATATATTCGTGTTCCAGCCTCAGCTAAACTCAGGAGTTCCCTGAGTGGTTTGGGGATAGCTGACACTACCTTCCTCAAAGGGCCCTTGTAGAAAAAAAAATAAGGAAGAACTATTGATGCCACCCCAAATTCACTAGAGGAACAATTCAGTAGAAGCATCTAGATGTTGGCCCCAAGTATTCTCTTCCTCACTTTCTAACCAGGCACAAAAGCTGATTTCTAAGCAGGTCACTTACTTTCACCTACTCACAGTAAAATCTGATCCTTGACAGTCTGTCTAGGTGCAGGCAGGGTGAGTCACCCATTACTTCAGAGTCTCAGATACTGTCTTTCTTGTTCCACAGTGCTAGACTTTGTGAGTGATGTGGGAGTGAGGCAAGGCAAGTGACAAGGATGAGAAGGCATTTCTCCTAACTCCTTGATAAAGACTCTTCTGCTCCACATCCTTATAGATAGCAATAGCACTTAGACTTATATACCACTTTACAGTGCTTTACAGCCCTCTCTTAAGTGGTTTACAGAGTCATCCTATTGCCCCCAAGAGTTTAGCTCCTCATTTTACCCACCTGGGAAGGATGGAAAGCTGAGTCAACCTTGAGCCTGGTGAGATTCGATCTGCCAAATTGCAGGCGGCCGGCAGTCAGCAGAAGTAGCCTGCAGTACTGTACTCTAACCACTGCGCCACCATGGCTCATCATTGACTGACCTCTTATCTCCAAAAAAATGATAGATCCTGGTTTGTGTGCTTCATGAACCAGACCCAGCTTTCAAAAAAACATAATGAACTTGTTGCAGATTTTCTTTCTTGTCTTCAGTAATCGTGGTGACTTTGGGCCTGCCATTTTTCTTTTTCTGCCAAAATGGAATGATGAAAAATGGGATGCAGGACAGAGCACATTAAAAACTTTTTAAAAAAAGTCTACCTGTAATTTGTGTCATAAAGAAAAGGAGGACACTGGGAGAAACATACACATGTGAGAAATGATGCAGATCAAAAGAGGGCTGTTGGTTCACCTGGTTGAATAAAAGACAGTACAGGTGAGAAAGGGTAAGTGGGTGAGTGCCAGTTTAACAAAGATGCCATGAGCACAGTAGAGAACATCTCTTGTATTTATCATTGGAAGTCAGATCAGTATCACTTTGCATATGTAATTGCCAAAAAAAAAATTGAAAACAGAAATAAGGAGCTGAGAATGAGGCTTAGGAGGATTGCAGGGGTGGGTTACAGCTTCATATGTGGCAGGAAATGAGAGCTCAGCCCAATTTGGCACAAACATTCATATATTACAAATACATACATTGGAGTAATGCAGAGCATGGCTTTATCTATCATGTGTAAGAGAAGGATGATTAGCCAAGCAGATTTGCTTGCTTGCTGTATTTTTTGTTTCTTAAAAGTCTTTGTCAGAGGCAGAAATTCAAAAAGGATAATTTTTCACAATATGAGCAATTAGGATTCTAGTTAGTTGCCATTAGAAGGATTTTCACGGTCATAATGCATTCACATCGAGGCAACACGAGATTCCCGTTTATTATTTTGGTATAGTTTATCATAAATAAGCCTTAATGTAGAATTGCCTTGTTGAATTTCTGCCTGCTAGGTGGATGATAAAACTATAGGAATTCAAACAGAAATAGATGCCCCTTTTAGCAAGGAGTTTTGCATGCCAACTGTTTCTCCTTTTAAAATTCCTCTATGTTTATAAATGGAGAGATTCAACCAGCAATTGAGTTATTTAAGAATTTTTTTCAGATCCTCTTAGTCTCCTTAGGGCCCAGATATTATCCATGCAGATAGATTTCTTTCTCCTTTTCGGACGGAGGAAGATTTCAGATGTTACAAGTGGCGTTAGGAAGCCTGATGCCCACTTGCAGTGCCCTTGATCAAGACCACCCTTCCAAATGGCAGAGGGAAAAATGTGAAGGCAACAGAGACAGACAAGATCTAAGTGACAGAAGGGTTCCCCCTCTTCCACCCCAGAAAGCAGTATGAAAATGTGGTACATTCAGTGTAACTGAAACTGGACCAGAGATATAGGAGTGAGAGACGGGGAAATAATCCACGAGGAAAAAGAGGCTAGAGATTAATGGAAAGCATTTGGTCTTTTTCTGTTTCTTTTGGAGAGAGGAGAATTAGGGGAAAGAATTGCAACACAATGAGCAGGATTAGCCTGTTAATCAGCTACGGTTACATCGGCTCTATAGCTGGTTGTTGTTTTTTCCCCCATGCAAAGACTGAGTCCAGGAAACTAGGAAAGCATTGGGTGAATTGGGAAACTAAACAACTGAAGCTTTTGTGATAGTGGGAAGCACTAAGCAACTCCGGAGTTACGGAGGGCTCCGTTAATGAAGGTTTTCAAGCAAAGACTGGACAGCCATTGGTCTGGGAGAGCATAAAGATTCCTGCCCCAGGACTTTGGAAGAGAAGATCTCCATGGTCCTTTCCCACCCTATGATTCTATGATAAGGAACGAACGCCCGCACCTGAGGTTTGAAAGCTAACACTGGAAGAATAGGATGAAGTGAAACCTCAAACAATTTTGGGACCCTAAGTGGGTTCTTTTCATTGCTTGCATCAGCACCTCTACTGGTCAAGATTTACCAAATCCAATTCATAGCTTTTTCGTTAATCACAAGAGTCTCACTGAAGATGGCGAACCGAGGAGTTGTAGGGAGCCCAGGGCAACCAAAAGCAGAACAGGGCAAAGGTCTTCTAATTTGCAAGGGACTTTCCCCCCCCCACTCCCCCTCTCCCATTATGCCCATTCTCCCCTGGCCTCTTCCCTCTCCGCATGACCTTGGGTGGGTGGGGGGGAAGGGTCTTGTGTTATTCCTACTGGGAGAGGGCAAGAGACATTAAATCACAGTCTCAAAAAGCGTAGCCTTCTCTGGCGGGGCAGCAGCAAGACTGTCTGGTGGTGGCAGCAACTTTGCCTCTGCTTCGGGTGTCATGTATTCCAGGTGGTGGTGGCCCCAGACAGGGGTGGTCAGCAATTGCCAGCGCTGGGGGAGAAATGAATGAGGCAGTGGCGTCAATGATCAACTCAAGGCAGCACCTCAATTTGTTCACTTTTATTTATTCACCTGAAATAGTCATATCTGGCTCGAATTAGCCCCGTTGGGGATTGGAAAGAGAGTTTTTCTACTCGTTTGTACCATAAAAAATAGGGTGTTTAAAGTATAAAGCCCCCTCCCTCTCTCCCTCTCTTGGAATGAAGGCCTTTAATTAAAGTCACACCGCGACATATTTAAACCATTCAACATCAGTCAACCAACGTTGCTCAAAAGTTCTTTTTATTTTTCTTTTATGCTGTTGCCCCGAAAGATCTTTTGAAGAATGGCTTGATATTCCTTAAAGGCACAAATCCAATTAATCAACTAATTATTGTCCCTAAAACTCAAAAGGCCTCTTTTATAACCGTTCAAAAGCAAGCCACAACTAAGTGCAAAATGAAAACTAAATGAAAAATTTAACAGGCAGGATAAACCCGGATTACTCTGAAAGTTCTGGATAGAGTTCCTGATGTATCTCCTTGAATTTACCGACGGTGTATCTTCTTGCCACTTGCCCCTTACTTTTGGCTTTGCACAATTGCAACTTCATTCTATGAATGCTAGAAGATCCTCTCTTTCTCTGGCTAACCACCATAGAATTTGTTTGTGGCTATACTTAATAGACCAGCAAGAGTATACACAGGCAAACACCTTAACTGCTAAATGAGATGGCAGGTCTTTGTTCTTGGGCACATTGTCAAAGTTTTAACCAAGCCTTTCCAAGGACCAGCACAGCTCCATCTCTGAAAAAATATCTCCAATGTCACTGACCCCATCATGCCATGAGAAGGAAATATAAACTATATTTGAACAAGGAGGAGCCAAACCCTAGCCTAGCCTCACCATAGTATCTTCTCACACCGTGCAGAATTCCAGGTGTCCCAAACAGACAAGCCTAACAAGCAAGATTGTTCACTGGGCTTCAGGTAGAGATGAGCTATTGACACTCACCTGTTGGAAGGTGCCCTTGCTTCGCAGAAGTTTGTAAGCGACAGTGCAGGGGATGCAAAGCATGGAGGCAAGGGCCAGCATCCAGCCAATAGCCTCTCCCCACCAGGGGTAGACATAGGTCTTGTTGTAAGTCAGTGGCTGATAGTTTACCACGTGGAACAGGAAGATGCCCTGATTAGGAACAGAGGAAAAGGGGGGAAGGGAAGGAGGGAGACAGGGAGGGAAAGAGGAGAGACCAAAGTGAAGATCAAAGTAATTTCAAACTCTCTTCCTTCCGAGTTTTGCAGTTTTAATGACTGAGTTATCTGTTTGCCAACTGAACCCTCCTTCAACTTTCGACATTTTGTCCCACTTTTACACTTCATCCCATTCTACGCTTTTAGATAAATTGCTTTTTATGTTGTTATTTTTTTTAAATTGCTCTTTTAATCAATGTGTTTTAAAGCAGACATCTTGTAAAAAAATTGAAAAATGATTCCAGTCAGGGAAGGAAATAATTTCTGACATCTGAGGTGCCAGCCAAGTAGCTCTGACCTCAATAAATATTAGATGCAAAGTGTGTGGGTTTTTTTCTGCTCCTAGGAATTGCATCCGAAAATGCTACATGCTTTGAAGTCACTTTTTTTTTTTGCTTAAAATATTTCTTACCCTTTATTAAAGTGCTGTTAGATTGTTTTTAATGTGTTGCCTCTATGCTGGTCTGTGAACGTAATAAAGATCTGGTTGAATACATTGCCTCTGTGTTACACACTTTGTGCCTATCTTCATCAGCAGCACAACAGAATATCATAATTTATAATGCATACTTTCTTCTCCATGTATTCGATTGTAATACCATTTGAAGTATTTGGCTATTCATTTTGATTTATCTTTTTTGAGGTTGAGTGGAGAAAGAGAAAAAAATTTTTTTTCTTCTTCCAGGAAAGCAAGGCAATTCCTGTGTTCATTGAAACGGGAACATTTTCAGATTCACAAAAAGAAGAATATTATGCATTTGCACCAACATGGTACTGTCAGTTGTGCCACATCTTTTGAAGTGGGTGCAAGTAGCAGTTTAACAGTAACAGAATTGGAAAGGATCTTGGAGGTCATCCAGTCCAACCCCCTGCTCATGCAGGAGACCTATACTAGGGATTTGAACCGCCGAACTGCTGACTTTTCTGATCAACAAGCTCAGCGTCGTAACCACTGAGCCACCTGTTGGATACATGGACAGAGGAGATGAGCTTGCTACTAAGCCTGCCAACCACCATCTATTTTTAGGTTTTACTTTATTTATTTAATTTTTGGCTGATTCTAATTTCAAATTGTCTGGAAAGCATGCCACCAATTGTTAGCAACAGAAAAGGCTCTGGAGCTCCAACAATTGTTGAAGCGGGGGCCCTGAATGACCCCTAGGTTGCCCATCCCCAGAGTAGATTCTAGAATACATTCCTAGGTAAAAAGGAATGTTAGAGATGAGTAGAGAATGTGTCACTATAGTACCTGTGAAAAATGTATGCAATGGGAAAATTGACCAGTTAATATGTAGGAATAACTTTATGCCATTTTAGCATGCATGCATGTAGTCAGTCAGTCAGTCAGTCAGTCACTGAGTGAGTGAGTCAGTCATTCTTATGTCTTTCCCACTTCTGCACATGTAAAAATGCATTCGAACTTTTCTATGGAGAATTGTGTTCAAGTGTCTCTTTTTAAATGCAACATTCTCTAAAATTATACTGTGTATCCCTGAGCATAATGGGCTTCTAAATATATTTTATCCCAAGATGTGCATTTCTCAAAGCCTTTTGGTCCATTCTGTAAGCAAGAACTATGAGTACAGCAAAATTCAGGGCATCGCACCATCCAAAGGCAACATATGTTTCAATGAACACATTGCTCTGGGAATTCCAAAGCAGGTCAATTCCCACAAGAATTTACAAAAGTATAATTGCTACTGGATATGACACAGATATCCAGGTTATTTTAAAACAAGCAGGGGAAGATTATAGCCAAAAATAGGATGGATTGGGGTTTTTTTTTCCCTTTGTTAGTTTGCTGTAATGCAGAACAAGCTTTTACAGCAACTTTTCTCAACTCAAGCGCTAACTCTGGCTAGCCAGCATTGTGGATAACCAGGCACACCTGAAGGGCACCAGGCTGAGGATAGTTGACAAAGAAAACTAATAACAAGGTTCTCTTTTTTAAAAAATAGAACTGAACATGCCCCTGTGGTTGACTTAATGCAAAAGCAAAAGTAGGAGGTCATTTTGAATGAATCCTCTTTGTAAATTTGCCCGTGTCCTTAAATTTCAGATTCTCTGGCCACCATAGACTGCAGGGCATCATTATATCACCTAAGAGTGGACCGCCTGCGAAGTGTGGCTCTCCATTTTTTCTACCCCAGCTTTCAGGATCCTTTAAAAAGCATTGCTAAAAAGGGGGCAGGAAAACACTGAGCTGATTGAATATATATATTTTAAAAAAGGCATGTGGACTTCTCAAAAATTCTCAAACCCTCAGTGTCAGCACTTCAGCCTGCATTTACTCTAGTGCTGACATAAGAAGGAGAAGAGGGGGCAGCTGGCAAGAGGACGCTTGACTTCTCACCTACTTATTTTCCCTAAAGATAATATCCCCTAGGAGATGAGATGGGAGGGGGGACATTCCTGGGAGCTTAAGTAGTAGATATGGGGAGAGTGATTTGGAAGAGGGCCAATGAGACACAGAGAATTGGGGAACGGAAAGGGAAGGTTTGGGGTCAGGAAGTCAGAGTTGGCTACGCCACGATCGGGGACAGGTTGTCGTGCTTAATAAAATGAAAGATTTCTTCAAAGACTATCTGTTTGGAAATGCAATTTATTTTATTTGAGACAACATCGAAACCTGACACTCAGATCAAATAAATGAATGAATAAATATATTCACCTCCCCTTCCAGGGTCTCCCCTTCCCCCCCTCAAAAAAAAAAAAAAAGGAAAGGGGGGATTTGCTATCCAAAGGTTGCTTGCTATGTAGTATAAAAAAGACCTCTTATATTGATCCAGACTTTGAAATCAGTACAGAGTCGTTTTAAAAAAAGCGATTAAAAGGATCTTTTTAACAGTGGTGAGTTTGGGGGGAATTGCCCATTCCCTGCTCACACAGTTGTATCATAGCTATGAGTGCAATTGGAACACAGTGCAATCTGTGCATCTACAGAAAAGCAAAAGAAAAAACCAAAACCAGAAGTACATAAATGCCAGTTGAAATTCTATGTACCACTTGTAGTAGGAGCACCCTTTCCCAGTTCAGATGCCCTCAACCCTCTTTAAAAAAAGCCCTGGAGATCTGGCTGTCCCCTGACTAGGATGTTACATGAGCTGCTAGGATATGTTAATCTGTGTTATGTGAATGATTGACCCCAGAACTGCATATTCTTCTATGCGATTCTTCTTATGACTGATGCATTTCTTTAAAAAAAATTTTTTTTTTAAATCTGATAGCTGCCTGGTTGCTTGGTGAGTGGCAGCTATCTAAATCAGATAAATGAGTAAGAGCAACACAGTTGTGCCAGGGACTAGCAGTCTAGAAACAGCACTGGGCGTGATCAGTTCAAATCTAGTGCAGAAGGAAACCAAATTTTCCGAAATCATCAGGGTTTTGTCCTCTTAATAGATGGCGAACGTAAGCACGAGCTGCCTCGTGTATATTAAAGCAAAGTCAGACTTGTGATAATTATATTGTTTTCAGAAAAGTGTTCAGGGTCAGAGATGTGCCTAAGAGGGTGTGTGATTGCATTTAGTTATCTTTGAATGGTTTTCTTGTTTTAAATAACCATTTATGTGCACGGATGCAGAGACGTACATCTGAATTTGGATGGGAGCTCTACCATGGAAGGAAACATTTTTACTCTTTTTGCATCCCCCTCCTCTATATCAGGGGACATTTGCGTCTCATCTTTGCTGCCAGTCCAGCCAAATAGAATTTGGAGAGTCAGAGGGGATAGGAAGGAGCCCTGGCAAAACATCAAGCCCTTGTGCCAGCGATTTGTTGAACTAGGAGGCAATCCGAAGGTCCAGAAACAAAATACTCTTTTTTTTTTTTTAACAAACTCAAGGACACCCAGTATCCTTAGTTTCTATGATTGCACAAGTAACCTTTGAATGGGAGGGAAAGGAAAGGGCAAGCATTTTCCTCTGAATGCAATGTACTCAGTAAAATGTCAAGTTGCTACTGGCTAGGATTGAGGTATCGCATAACCTTCATACTTAATCAAGCTCATTTTTAAAAACTGGCTGGGGGGAAAAAAAATTGTTGGAAAAAAACAGCCTAAATGGGCCCAACTTTAAGAAAGGTCTTTCTGATTCTGGGTTCAAGACCCAAGTGCCACGAGATGGGGTGAACTCCCGTCCTTGCCAACCTACGGTGTTTCCCCGAAAATAAGACCTTGTCGGGGTTTTTTGAACCCCGAAATAAGTGGTTGGCCTTATTTTCGGGGAGGTCTTATTATTTTGGGGCACGTGGAGCAAGATGGGCTCCTCTTGCAGTCTTACCTGATATCCAGTTCTGTCTAACCCTAACCAGAGGAAATGGCGGGGACCAGCTGCACATGTGTTTAAATATTTTCAGGGTGGGCTTATTTTCAGGGGACAGCTTATTTTAGCACATGCGCTCAAAAGCGTGATTGGGCTTTTTATCAGGGGATGTCTTCATTTTCATTTCATTTCATTTTATTAAATTTGTATACCGCCCTACTCCCGAAGGACTCAGGGCGGTGAACAGCCATGAAATAAAACATATAAATACAAAATTTAAAATAGAAATAAAACAAGTTAAATAAATTTGGCTGTCTTATTTTCAGGGAATCAGGGTAGCAGTTCGAAAGAATGCAAATGCAAGTAGATAAATAGGTACCACTTCGGTGGGAAGGTAACAGCTCTCCATGATGTCATGCTGACCAAATGACCATGGAAATGTCTTTGGACAGCACTGGCTCAGTGGCCTTGAAACAGTGATGAGCACTGCCTCTTAAAGTTGGCAATGACTAGAGGAGTAAAATCTGCAGGGACTCCTTTATTTGAGGGGTCCTTGGTGCTCTCTGAGCTTGGTTGTTTTCTTGAAGATGTTTCATTACCCAAACTAGGTAACACCATCAGTGCTAGTGGGGTTTGCTCTCAGTTTATATTCTGGTCTTTGCCTGTGTTTGGGGGTGGGGTGGGGGTGTCCTAGAAGTTCTTTGGTTGGGCTGTTTGCTGTTGGCTTCTTTGGCAGTTTCTTGATTGGGGTTTTATTTATTTGATTGTTGGTCTGATATTAACCTTGAAGTTAATCTATGCTGATCTGGGTGCTGATTGCTGGTGGAGAGGTGCTTGGGTCTTTTTGTTCCTTTTTGGGCTGGGTGCATATTCTATAGATGTTGTTAATGTCTATGTCGCTATTGATGGCTGAATTGTCAGAGTGCCAGCCTTCTAGAAATCAACTGGCATTTTTGGACTTGGCTTGGTCTTGGATGGTCACATTTTCCCAGTGGAAACTATGGTTAAATCTATCTATATGCCTAGCAATGATGATGTTACCTAATTTGGGTAATGAAAAGTCTGCAAGAAAACAAGCAAGCTTAGAGAGCACCAAGGACCCCTCATGTCAACCCTGATCTAGCAATAGCAATAGCACTTAGACTTATATGCCACTTCACAGTGCTTTACAACCTTCTCTAAGTGGTTTACAGAGTCAGCACATTGCCCCCAACAACCTGGGTCCTCATTTTACCAACTTCGGAAGGATGGAAGGCTGAGTCAAATATTCTCCTTTATTGCTCCTTTTACCTTTTTCTGATTTTGCACCCATCCCTACCTCCGCCACTCCCCACCCACCCCCAGCATGACTTACCACACACACTACGGGAGTAATGAATAACCAGCACCACTTCATGTAGGGCAGAGGCCGGTACCCAATCATCCGGGCGATGTCATCCATGAAGCGGTCGGCTCCTACAAAGAAGAGAAATGGAAGTTGAAGACATGCTGTTTTCCTCCCACCTGGTCCAGGTTCTCTCCCTAGATCTCTCACCGCACGGAGGGCAAAACGGGGCTTGAGAAGAAGGTGGGGAATGGCAAGTAAATGCTAACTTTTCTTTCACTCTCCCTCCCTCTTTCCACTTACCATAAACCCAGGCAACCACCACACACTCCCAAAAGGCTTGCCAAAGCAACGTGATTCCACTTGCAGAATAGTTGTCGAAGAGCTGAAAGACGTACATCCCACCCTACAGGCACAGAACACAGGAGAGGAGCCGATTAAGGAAGTCATTCGGAGCAATATTGTTTATTGGTGTATGATGCTGGCGGTGGAAATGAGAAAATGTAGGAGCCTGTGTGAACAGCCCATCCCCAGAGCTCCATCCAGCTTCTCTGTCTCGCTCTTTTAAGATTAAGATAATCTGTATTGTCATTTCCTATATACACAATGGCACGTGTTAAAATGAAATCCCAATGCCCGCTCTCAAAAGAAAGAAGAAAAGTTGGGTTTTTTTGCAAACCGAACACTTTGATTGATTCACAGAGAAGATAATACTAATCATTCATGTACTGTGTTTCCACGAAAATACGACCTACCCCGAAAACAAGCCCTAGCCCGATTTTCACACCTGTGCCTAATTTAAATCCTACCCCCCAAAATAAGCCCAAGTTACACCCCGACTACAGTCTGGTTGTACAAGGTGGGGCGAGGCACACGCGTAAAAATCAAGCTAGGGTGTGGATGGGAGGGGTGGAGCTGCTCCAGCTTACTTAGGACTGCCGCAGCTAGGACTCTCATGCCCCAACACCTGTCACAAAGCTGCCTGACGCCACTGCTACCACTCATGCGCTCAACAGCACAAGACACCATGCAGCCTCCTGCCGCACGCGGCGGCACTGTCATGATAAGCTACATGGCGAGCAGCCGTAGAAGTCGGGCAGCGCCACGACAGGTGTCAGGGCATGGGAGGCCTGGCTGCGGTGATCCTAAGGAAAGTGGGTAAGACATCACCCCCAAAATAAGTCTTGATGCTTATTTTGGGGCCCAAAAGAAAATAAGAACGGGTCTTGTTTTTGGGGAAACATGGTATTTATTTGGAATTTTCTGAATCGCTCTTTAAAAGGGACCTGGAGTGATTGTCAGACATGTAACAGGTCTTGCAGAAGAAGACAAGCAAGGCTCCTTTTGCCTGGATGACTAGAATAGTTATTTCTGTGAGTGCGTTTAGAGTTGGAACCAGATGGTCATTACCATAATAGATTCACAAGGCTGCCAAGCCAGAGAGACTCAAGCAGCTTACAATTAAAAGCTCCCCCTAGGTGGAATCCATTTTACAAAAAGGATCGTCTTTCTTCCAGCCTTCAACTCACCTGAGTCACCATGGAGAGATCAATGACACAGCAGACAAGGCAGCAGATGGCGGCTGTGATCTCTCTGCGGGGTGAGGCTGCCGCTGGCTGTGGAAACAAGTCTAGGATACCGGTGATGAAGCCTTCTACACCCACAAACTGGCAAGAAGCAAGGAGACATTCACCAGTGGAGAAATTAAAAAATAGTCAAGTTGGGGACCATGACTATGCAACTGTAGCCCAACTTCTGTTTGTGTATTCCCCATGTGTAACATCTTAAAAAAGAGTGGAGTTTTGATCAGGTTTACCTTGATCCTTCTCCCAGACACCCTGATCTCCTTGGCAATGTCCCAATGTCCCTACCCTGTTCTGGGTAGCCTCCCGCTGCCCTGCGCTTATAACATCTGACCCAGCCTGTCCTCTCTAATTGTGTCAGCCACGACTCCCATAATTCCTTTGCTGGCATCCTTTTGGACCAAAATGGAGGTCAATCATGGGACTTCAAATCTAATACAGCATCATTTTGGAGCCACACTAGATGATATGTTAAATGCGTGACTGCTGTACATTCTCACCACGTCTCCCCGAACTGCTAGATTAAAACAAAAACAAAATGCAGATCTAAATTCACTTACATCTAATGCAATGCACTTTGGTTCTTAGGCGACAGGATGGCAACTGGCCAGAAATATTATGGGTAGCGTGAACGATCTCTTCTTACAGAGCCCTTTGAGCACGCCCAGCAGTAGCCTAATTAGCCCAGCCAAATGTATGACAACAATGTAGATGCAGAAGAAGCCTGGTAGGGGAGATGTCTGACCTCAAGAGGAAATTGGATGTTGTGGCGTGAAAGAGTACAGTTATCTTGAAGGAGAAGGTCTTAAAGAGAGCCTCAATGCTTTCTTCCTCACTCCTGGTCATTTAGATCAAGATTTTAACTACTTTGTTGTCCCTATCCTTTTGTAATTGTGGATAGCAGCAAGAATATTCCTGATCCTCTTGTAATGAGAAACACCTTATCAAATCAGTTCTGCAGATACTGCTGCTACAACGGGCTTGTCCAACCCACAATTCACGGAGTGCATGTGGCCCCGGGCAGCTGGCAATGCGACCTCACAAGATCATAAACTTTTACCATCGTTATGTGATTTATATACATTAACTGTATTACATATTTTATAGGCAATTCCCCTTCACTCAGTGTGGCCCAGGCAAGCCAGAATGTTGGACATCCATGTGCTACAAGGACAGGAGGAAGCTGGGGGGATTATTAAAAAAGTTGATAACTGTATATCTCTATTTTTCATCTTTTCTACACCCCCGCCCCCATGAATGGTTACCTGGCTGTCCAGACCCAAGACAAGAAGCATGAAGAAAAACAGGGTAGCCCAGAGTGGAGACAGCGGCATCAGTGTTACAGCTTTGGGATAGGCAATGAAGGCCAAACCAGGACCTGTAAGACAAAAACAATGCTCGAGAATGGAGACTGCAGAAAAGTCTTACAAGTTATAAGAAACTAATAGAGAAGGACCTCTTTGGAAGAGGCTTTCAAGGCCTCAGCCAGGAGTTCACAATTTTTCTGGAACAGGTCCATGCTCAACTTTCAGATGGTAGATGACCTTAAGACATTTATTCTTAATTCGATCAAAATTTAACTGCCTCTATCAAATATAGCACTAGCACTTAGGCCTATATGTTCTGACCTACGCTTCCTGAGATAGTAAAAAGCACACAATTAATCCCAAAAACCCTCTTTTTATTTCAACGGCTGTGAATTCTGTTCATTCACAGCCCGTGATGAGTCACAAATAGTTTGTAAAGAGTCTGAGAGAAGTCTGCCACAGTCCTTCGGGATAAGGCTGATAAGCACCCTCCTTTATCTCCCTTGACATGCTGCCAAAGACCTAATTGGCAATTAGCTTTGCAAGACCACACGGAGCACAGAGTCAAAACGGAGCTTTAGAATTTAAACCGACCAGCACAAACAAAGTTGCTTCCTGCAAAGGTTCACATGCCTTTGCTCCTTCTTTATGTCTTATGGGAGGTGCCAATCATCTCCAAGCCTTACTCCTGAGTCTCCCCTTTTGTCTTAATTGTTCTTGCCTTCTGGCAGCTCTGCGCATGCGCACACTGGGAACAGGCTCCCCGTTCCTGTGCCTCGCTGACGTCAGACTCTGGAGGCTCCAGAATCAGCACATAACTCCCAGATGGCCCTAGCCCCCATCTCTGCCTCTGATGCAGAGCCCTCATCCGAGCCTTCCCCAGACTCCAGGACCGGTCCATATTCCTCCCCAGCCTCCTCACTGTCCAACTCTGCTGCCAACTCTGCAGGCTGCGGGTGGACCACAACACTATATACCGCTTCATAGTGCTTTTACAGACCTCTCTGAGTGGTTTAAAGAGTCAGCATTGCCTCCCAACAATCTGGGTCCTCATTTTACTGACCTTGGAAGGATGGAAGGATAAGTCAGCCTCGAGCCGATGAGAATCGAACTGCCAAACTGCAGGCAGCTGGCAGTCAGCAGAAGTAGTCTGCAGTACTGCATTCTAATCACTGTGCTACCACCAAGACTACTGTCCCGCAATATGTTTAACTCAGTTAAACCTTCGACCTCATCAAAAATTACAATTCACTGCTTAAATTTTAAAGGAATCCTGGGACTGCACTGAAAGCTATCCTAGGTAGGAGACTGTGCGCCTCTGGTCCTGCAAATGTTTTTGGATCCCACTGAATCCAAGTGCAAAACAGGCATTCTAATACCGAGGTACTTTCACTCGCGCAAAACCCTGGAAAGAATCTGCCTCTCAAAAGAAAGGGAAAACCACTGGCAGGAAGGAAATTCTGACTGCTGCTCCTTACCTGACTCTGCCACCTGGGAGATGTCTACCCCCTGCTCTGATGCCATGAAGCCCAATACTGAAAATACTACAAAGCCAGCGAAGAAGCTGGTGGAACTGTTGATCACAGCCAGGAGATATGCATCCCTGTAGAGAGGAATGGATAAATTCAACACAACCAGAAGTGGACACTTAATAGCCTCAAGCCTCCTCCCTTATCCAGAAGGCAACAGAAGAACTGCTGTGCTTCTGCATCACCTTATGGTCCAAAGCTCCAACCAGCCTGGAAATTGCACTATTCTTTTGACCTGGAAACCCTTTCCACTAATACTACAAGTGGCAATGATTGTTGTGTGGAAAAGGAAACACACAATGCACGGTCACAATTGAACACACATTATGGAAAACACCCCAGCCTTGCTCCTTTTTATTAAGATTACAGAATTTAGATGTTTATGTGCAGAAAGTGAGATAAAGTGATAGTCGAGACAATGTTAGCAAAGAGACTCACTGATGGCTATAGTCTGTGGTTTAAAAAAAATCCCAGCCGAATTCTGCCCTGACAGAACTCATAATTTGCAAGAAAAAAAGCTAAACTAGTTGTATTTCAAACTTGGCAACTTTTAAGATGTGTGGACTTTAACTCCCAGAATTCTCTAGCCAGCAAATGCTGAACTCCACACATCTTAAAATGGCTAGGTTTGAAAAAGCACGGATGTAAATTATGCAAATCAAGTATAACTGCACACATTCTTGTCATCTGCATAATTTGTTTAGCCTTTGCTAACCTTGGAGTAGATGCTGAAACTTCTTAATCCTTAATTGTTGTTTACCACTTACACTCTTACTGCTTCCTTTCGCTTCCAATATTTCAATCATACATTTTCAAGCTTGTATTTGTAACTTGAAGGGCTTAAAAAAATGTCAGAGTAGTGGAGAAATGAGATTTCTCCGGGTGTCAATTGGGTACACATTGTGTCAAATTATATATTTATGGAGATTAACAGAAAGCACACACAACTAAAAATCGGTGTGTTGATATGCTGGTTTAGGGACACGGAGAGGGAGAAAATGGGATTAAGTTGACTTAATGCCATGTTTTAAAGATTCTTTTTTGAGGGACAGCATTTTTAGGATTTAGACAATCCCAAAAGATTTCACCACCATGGTTGGCTCTCAGAATTATCTGTATGTGATGTGGGTGGGTGGGTGGGTGTCTCACCTGTAACAGTTGTTGTGGAAGCGATTGTAGCTGCCAAGTGCGGTCAGGGCTCCCAGCCCAATAGCATATGAGAAGAAGATCTGGGTACCAGCATCAATCCATACCTGAGATGAGGGGAACAGCTGTGGTATAAACCCCACTAGTGGAGGGGCAGAACTCTGTTTGCATGGCCTGAACCAGGTGACTAGAGGGCAACAATGGTTGCATGCAAGAGCCTTGTTTCCTGCAGAGACACTGGCTACAGCCTCATCGTTTCCCAATTACTTCCCCCAATGATAACCTTCTCCACCCATCTCTCTCTGTCAATGTCGCCCAAAATTCTTACCTGAGCCACAGCAAGCTTGGACCAGTCAGGTTTCAGGTAGTAAATGATCCCATCCAGTGCGCCAGGCAACGTCACTCCATGCAAGAGCAGGAGGATAAGCACCACATAAGGGAACAATGCAGTGAAATAGACCACCTGTCAGCCAATCAGAGGATTAGAAAATTACAAGACTGTATAGTAGGAGGACCACCCTACTTAGATCCCAGATTACATTTGACATGATGGATCACAAGTCATGGACACTCGGATAATAGGATAAAGCAGCGTTTTTCAACCTCAGCAAACTTAAGATGTGTGGACTTCGACTCCCAGAATTCCCAATCCCACAGGCAGCCATTTTCTTCTTAACAACAACAACAACAAAAACCAAGTCAATGATAGATGTAATGGAGGGCAGCACTATGGAGCAGGGGTGGACAATTATGGCCTCTTTACGACCTGTGGACTTCAACTCCCAGAATTCCCCCAGCCAGCATGGCTGGCTGTGGGATTAGGAATTCTGGGAGTTGAAGTCCACACATCTTAAAGTAGCGTAGGTTGAGAAACACTAGGATAGAGTACGAGGATTGTGTTAAAACATAAGCATGTAAAAAGACAATATCAAATGAAAATTTTAAAAAACCCAAGTCTATGACTGCTAAAAGCCTTGTCAGGCTCATTTCCTTTTCTGCAATTCACAAACACAACATATGTCATTGGTTGTCAGGTAACTGTAACCTTGGACCCTTTTTTCCCCTCTTTCTTTGAATAGCTGTAGTTATTTCCAGAGGATGATGGATGCTTGTGCAGCTAGACAGCTTGACAATCCAGTGGGAAATACAAGCTACATTTGCTTGCAAGTACTGCATGATGAAAGAATTAGTTAAGACAGCCCTCCTCCTACCTTCATTGTGTTTCTTACATAATGACTGTTGCTAAACTGAGGTCAGAGGAGGGTAGGAAGAAGTTTATTTTCTTAATAAATAGTTCCTTGAAATAGTAAAAAAAAAAAAAAAAGAAACAACCAATTGTTAAGTATGAGGTCCATTAGGTCTGAAGAGGAAATGGCAAGGTATCAAATTTCATCCCAAAGACAGGAAATCTAGAGAGTTAGCTGGCTCAGTTTCAGAATGAAAAGCAGGGCATTTCAACATTCAGAAATAATGGGATCCTTATTAGAGAATTTATCCTGCACTCAATGTCATTATGGCCACATGCCTAAGCTTTCTCCTGAAACAATACACACGCACACATACCAGTTACCTTCCCGGTTGACTTGACCCCCTTCCAGATGCAGAAATAAACAATGACCCAAGTTACAAGCAAGCAAAGGGTCAGCTGCCAGCTGATCTCTCCTGGATCAGCCAGATCCCCTGAAATACGCAGCACTTTGTTCCTGAGGAAATGAAGAAGGAGATTAGAAGAAGGCCCAGCCTGAAAAAGAGAAAGAAAAAAAACCTCTCTTCTGTGGGAAATTATTTGCTTCTCCTCAGGTACGGGTCTGGCTCAGATTTAAAGATTTCAGATTTTGTGAAACCATTAAAAGTAAGCAAGTAGTCAATAGTTAATTGAATACGATAATTTTTAGTACCTTGGGATTCCTTAATGGATTTTCTGCCTCAGCTGCCAAAATCCTTTGGGCTCCTCTTATCCAAATCATTCCATGTCCCCTTTTCCCTCCATTTTGTAATTTCCCTTCCGTCTTGCTCACAAGATCCTTCCCTCTGCTGGGCTTTCAAGAAGCCTCCTCAACTCGTTCTTCTAGAGCAGGGGGCCACAAAGCTCTGGCCTTCAGAAACTGCTGAACTGCAACTCTGCCAGGCTGGCCAATGAAGAAATATCTAGGTAGCACTGGAAAAGGCCACATGTTCTTCCCCCCCCCACCTTTCTCCAAGGAGATCTACACCAGGTGTGCCTCCTAGACATTGTCACCCACTCACTCCCAGAACTCAATGACGGGAGAGCGTTGGTCAGCCAGGTTGCTGCAGTTTCTGGCGGTGCTGTTGTGGGTGTTGTTGCCGCAGTCGCTCAAACCAAAAAGCTCGGTGCATTGGGGAGTGTTCCACGAGTGGCCACAGGTGGCCCATGGCAGCGTCTCCGTCAGTGAGTGGACCAAGTAGAAGACACCCCAGACGAGGATCATAATATAGTAAGAGTTACAGAAGAAGACAATGACCATGGAGGCCAGGCCCAAACCTAGAGAGAAACAGCTGATTAGAGCCAGAGGCATTTGGGATGGGGGGGAGTGTCTGTTGATGGAAGGGTAGCGTGTCACACCCTCGCACTAAAGCCCTGCCTCTAACGGCAGGGGAATGAAAGAAAAGCAAAGTAGGGAAGCTTGAAATAGAATGAACTGTATGTCATGAAATGGATGCGGAGAAGATGTAGATCAGGGTTGTCAAACTTGATTTCACTGAGGGCCCCATGAGGGTTGCATTTGACCTTGGGGGACTGGGGTGGGCATGGCCAGCTTGACATCACTCATGTGGGAAGGGGCTGTGGTGGTGGCCTGAGCACTCTGCCAGAGAAAATGGGCTCCCAAGCTCCGTTTTCGGCTGCAGTGGTCTCATGCAACCCTCTGCAAGAGAAAATGGAGTTTGCGAGGGCCTCCTGCGGCCTTTCCGAGCTCTGTTTTTGCTGGCAGAGGCACCATAGGCCGGATCTGGCCCCCGGGCCTTGAGTTTGACACCCCTGATGTAGATAGAATAATATTTTGAATGCTCTCTTACACTAAATTAACATACACTTACATCTGCTGCCTGCAATTACTGCAAGTTCAAATCTCACCAGGCTCAAGGTTGACTCAGCCTTCCATCCTTTCTAAGGTAGGTAAAATGAGGACCCAGATTGTGGGGGCAATAAGCTGACTTTGTATAAATATACAAAAGGATGAAGGCTATTGCTTAATGCATTGTAAGCCGCCCTGAGTCTCCGGAGAAGGGTGGCATATAAATCAAATTAAAAATAAAAAAATAAAAAAAATAAATGAAAGAGACATAATAAGCATAATTTTAGCTTTAACTTTTCTTTAAGCAAGATCTTTAGCTTTTCTCCCAAGTTAGATTTTATTATTGTGAGGAACTCAAGAATAAGTTGGTAAAACTGTGTTTTCTGAAGTTTTAAAGTGCTGCATGGAGAAACCATGTTCTGTATCTATCTCATACCTTCTTTTCCCATGCAAATTTCAAGCAAAATCTATATAGCAGACAGTCCAGATTGGGGTTATATCATAATGTCAACAGCCCCTCAAAAACACTGCCCCCGGGAAAAGCAAATTCATCACAGTCATTAAACATATATACATGTTGTTGTTTATTTCCCATTTTTATCCTGTTTTCACTAGGCCTGGGAAATGCTGAAGAACTACAATATTTAAAACTTCCATATTCCATCTGTTGGCCAGCCCTATAATTGTAAATTCTAGAAACTGATACTGAAGGATCATTCAATTCCGGACTAAATATAATATTCAGTGTGTTTGTAGATGACTCAGAGCCATTCTGATAATTAGAGGACGGCCCTAAGTGCACGGAAGGCAAAATACATATATATTGCAGCTTTGGGGAAAATACAGATGGCTGCCAAGTTGGAATATGCAAAAATCAACAGCAGAAAAATAGCTTTGTCCACATCTGAAGCCTGGGTGTAAATTAACTTGTGTGATGTACTGGCTGCCTTCCAGATATCCACCTTATCTCAAGGAGGCTGCCCTGTCATCATTGTGATGGAGTTTTACATTGGTACCAAAGCAAGGCTCCATCCACACATGCCTATGACCTCTGTTTTGAACAAGCTATTGGTTAAGAACCATCAGGTAGCATCTAGCTACTATTCAATAAATTCAATAAACTAAAAACTAAAACTATTCCTTCCTCTCTGGCCAATTAACAATGGCTGGATGTGGGAATCAGGTGGCCATAGTATATGTGTAGACCAGTCTAGCTGGTTGGACACGTGTACGGAGCTTGGCACCGAAATAATCTGAGTATGAAAAAGGCGGGTTCAGCTGGATGATCACTGAAGGGCCCTATTCGTTCTCTCGTTGTTCATAATATTGTAGAACATAGGCTGTGTTTGCATAGCAGAGACATCTCCTTGTAGAACATTCCTGAGGACTGAGGTAACCTCTGATAACGGGGAGATGGGCCTCTCGGCTGGCAGAGGAGAGCGAAGCCAAATATGATAACATAGCCAGAGTTAAGTTTTGTTTTTACCTTAGGTATCGCTTTCCTAGAATTCACGTGATTTACTGTAATATTGTAGAATGTGAAACCTATATGGAGAATATATGGATGCTTTTCTTTTTCATGCATGTAATATGAGATGTGTAGCCATAATAACGCCTTTTGATGACGCTGTACTTTGATTACTAATAAAAGAGAGGTCTGGAGTCAGCTTGGGGCTCTCTCATCCCAAGAAACACTTGTCCTGTGTCTTCTCTAATCTGGACTACTCATGAGGTGCCCACCAGGATGATCGCAACAGCTGGAAACTAAACTTCCATTTCCACAAGAATATATGTGGCAAAGTTTCAAAACTCTATGCTTCAGAAACTAGCTTCCACATTAAATTGGTGAAGACTGAAAGTGTGGTAAAATCTTTGTACATTGTGCTTCAAATAGCTGGGGGAGCAAGAGATGGCACCAAAACCACTAACTCTTTGGCCTCATCTTGTGGTCTTTCTAGTACTTGTGGTCCAGATTTGTGTTGCTGCCAGAGAATACAATGGGGGCATAGGATGTGGGGAACAAGATGCTCCCATTGGGGGAGACACGCTACATTGTTAAGATGCAAGGCAAAACTGGCCTATGGGGAAGAATATGAATAGCCTGTCAAGCTCGAAGTGCACTTATACTGTTGCGAACATTATCACTTCTCAACTTGCCAAAGAACCAGAGGGGAGGGAAGGGTGAGATGGAATGCAAGCTCCAGACTTCCAGAAGACAAGCCATGAGAGCCAAGGACACTCAAGCAGGTGCTTGCCAAGACCAGAGACTTTTCTTACAACAATACAATGACACTCCATTGGACAATGTGACCTGCACTAATAGGGGGGAGGGAGAAATCTATACTATCATTATGTGGGTTTGTGCGGGAATTAGCTACAGCTGGTTTTGCCTTCAGCAGTGCTGAAATGATGTACTCAATAAAAGTTTTGCATTCAGAGATTGGAAGGTCTCGAGCGTGCTTGCTTTGGTTGGGTTCTTCAATCCCTAAGTTCCACACCAATGATTTCCCTAATTTTATCCTCTCTGCCTAATCGTAACAGATGAGGGAGTGGTCACAATAGTTAACAGAAACAGACACATGCCCTTTGGTTCTCTGTAAATTGAACAGAGCTGGTTCGTCACATTTTATGATGTAGCAATATAGCCTAGCCCTAGAACATTTCCAATCTTTTCTCAGAATTCTACAAGATAGATAAAACTCTGCAGTGCTTTAATACTCTGTTGTTACACATTCACAGCTTTACAACAGCTCCTGCTACTTCTGAATCTAATAGGTGGCTAAAAAATACAGACAAGTGTCAACGACGCCATTACCTTTAAACAGGGGAGCAATGTTCCAGGCTGCAATTCCACCTTGCTTCATAAACTGTCCCAGGGCCACCTCCAGGAAAAAGACAGGGATCCCCCCAACAAAAACGATCAGCAGGTAAGGAATCAGAAAGACACCTGCACAGAAAAGAGGAGTCAGTGTTCTGTCCTTTTTTTTCAAGAAGCTGGGAGAGTTTACAGAGTCTTTTTAGTGGTACTGCTGAAATTATGGAATGCCAAATTCCACTCTTCAGTTGCTCTCTTGTTTTAGGCTTTTAGTAGTTTTCTCCATTTGGATGAGCTCCAGGCAGATATATTCTCGCTGTCAAGGACACACAGACATTGTCCTCTTAACTTGAAAATATACCTGCTGCAGTACATTTTTTGTACATTGCATAGGACGGAGAATTTGGGAAGCTATAGATTTATTTTTCCTTACTGAATGTGAAACATATTAGGACAAATAGCGAAGCCTCGTAAACTCATGAACTGCATCCTTGGGTGCAAAGCGGGCAGTTTTGGAATGCTTAAAGGGTATTTACGTTCATAAAATCTTGACACTTTTGAGTGACCAGCCCCACATTGTTAACCTCTTTCCAGTAGGAGGTTGAAAGATAGTGAGCTTTCCAAATCCACCTAGTACTTGCAAATTCAGGCTGTGATTCAAATAAGATTTGAACAGATGCTGCTCATTTTTTCCCCCCCAGCGTAATTGCTAGAACAAGTTTTCCATTTTCCATGGCTGGTTGGGGAATTCTGGGAGTTGAAGTCCACACATCCTTAAGCTGCCAAGGTTGAGAAGCACTGTGATACATAAATCAACATCCAGCTGAATGCTTTCAGACTGCTCTCTTTGTCTCTTGCTCTCTCTCTCTCAAATCTAAACTGGGAAAATAAAAAGAATGTGCCCAGACTTATGTCTATTCTATTGCAGCAGTAGACAAGAAAGGTAATCCTGACACTGAATCGGTTTAATGATCCAGAGTTCACCGTTCAGAACTTGCCGAATTTGCAAGTATTTTAAAGATGCCTCTGGATGCAACCCAAGCATCTTCATATGCTATTTTTTATTATTTTATTCCAGTTCTTTGGTTGTCAGCCTGTCCCAATTCCATGAGGCACATTGCAACCAATTAGAAATACTTTCCTTGCCCGCTTCCTATATACAGCCAGATCTGTATTCCCTTAGGGCATATGCCATCGTAAGTGAGATTTAAAAAAAAACATTTGCTGATATATTCTACAAGGAGGTTCCTGTATATGTTGGGGCCATGAGCAAATATGCATGACTGGATTTATAAGTATTTTTTCCTGGTTGCCTTCTCTACGCTCAAGAGCCTCAATGAAAAGCATAAATGTTATCAAGGCAGGGATGGTGACTGCCTTTGGGACTAAATCTATAGAAACCACCTTTCATTTTCTGTTGGGTAAACCCAAACAGTTTCATCTACCTCAAATAAGGTCCAAGACTGTCCAGAACCCAGAGATATAAAGTCACAAGTGGACAATGCTTCTTGTTAAAAGCGGTCCAGATAATTCAGTATTTGTGTCATCAACATTGTCCCACTGCTATTTATTTCAGCTTTTGCAAAGCCTCTTACTCTGCCAGAGTTAAGAGTTAAAAACTATAGCCTGTCTTCATTTTACTCCATTTTTGAAATAACACAGATTCTTACAAAAGGAATGGTTGTAAGGTTTTCAGCTGCAGGGCAAACCTTGTGATATAATGAGACAGAGAGATGACTCTGAGTAACCAAATGGTGTATTATTAGGCTAGTAATTTATTTATGGACAGAATAAATGTAGCCTGTAGCGTTTTTCTGTGTAAAAGGCAATTATACCACATAAACCTTGGTCACGCTGAAGTGTGTGCAATAAACATTTTTTTTCACTTAAAAAGTGAAATAGTGCCCTGCATTTTTATGTAGTTTACTGTGGTAAGTTTTGCCACTTGCAAAAAAAATGATCTGAGCTGAATTGATCTAACCTGATGGAAAGGCAGCAGGATTCACCTACCATGTATCAGGGAGGGAATAAGAAAATGGATCTGGAGATCAAAAACAGAGATGCCTTTGAGTCCAGGGGCTACCTGGACACCAAGAGTGTCCAGGTAGCCCCTAGACTCACCTGTCCCATTGCTACACAATCCAGTTCCCATGGCAACCCTCTTACCTCCTCCATTTTTGTAGCAGAGGTATGGAAAGCGCCAGACGTTGCCCAACCCTACAGCAAAACCAACACATGACATGATGAAATCCATCTGGCGCGTCCAGGTTTCTCGCTCAGGAAAGGATAGCTTCGCTGGCCCGATGGGTACCACCAGAGGGGCAGTGATGGCTCTCTCGTCAAGGGTGGACTCCCCTGAGCCATTGATTGGCTCAGCACTTTCTGGCTCGGCTACCTCTGAGCACTCACTGCCCTCTGTGGAGAAAAGGACAAGCTGCTAGGCAAAAATCAACCAGAGAGAAAATCCAGCAAGCTGCTGAACCAACCATTTCTAGGTGATGATGGTTGGTGAGCTGAAGGGGTGGTGATCATGGGCAGGTGTTTGACACTCTGATCAACAGTTTGATCTTCCATTAACTTCCAGATCTATGTCTGCTACAGGGGTGGGTTCTAAATTTTTTTACTACCGGTTCTGTGGGCGTGGCTTATTTTGTGGGCATGGCTTGATGGTCATGTGACAATTCTTTAGGATTTAGCAGAGGTACTGGTCTACCACGCTTTTAACTGCTTGCAGCACTGTACTCATGGTCTACTCATTTGTTGTTGGAACGTCCTGGTCTACCCATTTGTTTTTCGAGCGTCCCGGTCTACCCATTTGTTTTTCAAGCATCCTGGTCTACCCATTTGTTTTTCAAGCATCCTGGTCTACCCATTTGTTTTTGGAGGCACCAGTCTACTCATTTGCTTTTGGAGGCACCAGTCTACCACCACACTGCCTTTTAACACTGATCAGCTGTAGGGCAGCCCTTTGAAGCCCCGCGGCAAGAGTTTAAACAGTTTTTTTTCCTTCTAGCCATCAGCTGGGACTCGGGAGGCAGCGAATAGATTGGGGGCGGGGCCAAAGGGCCCAGCTCCTGAACAAAGAGAACTGGTTCAGTGACATCATATCGTCACCGCTACCGGCTCAGCGGAACCGGGCCGAACCAGGAGGAACCCGCCACTGGTCTGCTATCAACAGGGCTAAAAACATGAAAGTTATAATGGTGAGTAACCTGAAGCATGGAGTAATGCAGGCCACAAATGACCTTTTTAAACAAATGTTCACCAATATGCAAGAGCTTTCAGCTATGCAAGAAATTTGACTGATTGGTGGATTGAATTTATAAGCCGCCTCTATTGTCCATACAACTCTAGGAAACATACAGCATAATTATCAATCATACAGGTAATCCTCGACGTACCACCACGACTGAGCCCAAAATTTCTGTTGCTAAGCGAGACAGTTAAGTGAATTTTGCCCCATTTTTATGACCTTTCTTGTCACAGCTGTGGAATGAATCACTGCAGTTGTTAAGTTAGTAACACGATTGTTAAGTGAATCTGGCTTTCCCCATTGACTTTGCTGGTCAGAAGGTCGCAAAAGGGGATCACATGACCTTGGGATCCTGGAACCGTCATAAATATGAGCCAGTTGCCAAACATCCTAATTTTGATCACGTGGCCATCGGGAGGCTGCGACGGTTGTGTGAAAAATAGTCATAAGTCACTTTTTTCAGTGCCACTGTAACTTTGAAAGAGTTAAGAGCCTGGCTAGGTGGCTCAGTGCCTAAGATGCTGAGCTTGTCGATCAGAAAGGTCGGCAGTTCAGGGGTTCGAATCCTTAGCATAGGTCTCCTGTGTGAGCAGAGGGTTGGACTAGATGACCTCCAAGGTCCCTTCCCACTCTGTTACTGTTTGTTTGAGTCACTAAATGAACTTCGTAAATCAAAGATATCTGTATTTAAGAATCGTCCATTTCCCTCATTACAGAGACTCTGGTTGGCTACAACAATAAATGTGCGGAAAGCTGAAATAAGCAACTCTCTATTGCTGTATTAGAGAAAGAAACACCAAGAACCAAAGAATAAAATCCCAAGATCAAATCGGGCTGGCTCTGGATCTGTGGAACGAGCCACATTTTAAGGGCTTTCTTAAACACCACTGCAGTCTTCGGAAGAATATTATCCCACAGGACAGATGTGGCTACAGAAAAGGCACAGAATATTTCCCCCCCCCCTAATGTGATGTACTGCATCACTTAATATGAATAAACTATTCTTTTACGTGGACAAAAGAACTGGCTCGTGACATTTTTGCTGTTTCAAATAAGTGGCTTACCCTTTGATTTAAAAAAAATTTTTCCCCCCAAGTCATGCAAGAATGGGATTTGTCCTTAACAACGTCTATAATTGGTGGGAGCGACTGAGGCATGTCGGGGCTACGTTCCAGAAAGGGGATTGGGTCATGGCAAAAATCTAAAGTTGATTTCATTTAACCCAATTTATTACATAAAGTGAACAGAATTACTCTTTGTATATTTCTGTCATATTAAAAGTAATGATTTAATCACAATTTTTGAAGGGCTCAGGAGTCACAGTCTAGGCTTTGGAAGAGCACCTGTTGTGTAACATTTCTTAATAATGTTGCCAAAGATTCAAGGCCGCTTTTCTCTCACGGCTTCATATATGGGCTTTTTTGTGGGAACTGACAGATAAACTTCAAAAACTATTCTAATGATAACCTTGCCAAGGATTCTGAATGGGGAAAACCAGCCCCCCCCCCCACTTCAACCAATGTTCTTCAGATTGTCTGAATTGTGCCAATGACAACAACGAACTATAAAGTATGTTTCTTTTTAAATTAGTGTTCCAATAGCATTTTGTTGTCTAGATAAAAATCAACAGAACACAGCCTGTTCTTAACTAGATTTTGCAGGGCTGGGAAAGCCACATAAACTGGCAGCAGGGCAAAAGTTGAAGGGTTGGGCCTCCAGATTCCATTCTATCACCTATTTTTTTTCTTTCAGTACGGTTACAGGTGTTGGCATCCTAATTTTTGTTAGGAATCCATATGAAACTGCCATTTTTATTTTTTTTTTTGCTCTTCTGTATCAGGGAAAGGCTTGCATAAACCTGTGACGGGGGAATGTCCATGCATGAAAACATGTTTTGCACATATCAATATTATGAGCGCCCCATGTCCATCCTTTAAGACCTAGATAAAAAATAAATAACTTATTTCCTTCTCAGGAATTTCCTTGGCATCACAGCATTCGAGGTCCGTCCCTGCTTCCTTGTTCCTTTGAGGGCCATACCTTGCTGAAATCGTTTGACAATGTCATAATTTTGCAGGCACCTTTTATGTAATGTGCAGCCTTTGGAATGCAGACAGCAAATTTCACTCTTTCTGCTTAGAGAGTTGCAATTTTGATGTCACAATGCAGGATGGTGAGTCACCCAGTAGGCAGTGATGCTGAATACACACACACACACACACACACACACACACACACACATACACAGAGCACTAATCACATGAATTCACACAGCAGTTCCTATGCTCATAATGTACTTACACACGCATATATGCCCAAGACTGTGCTTTGGGCTTGTTTCACACAATTCCCTGGGATTATCTACACTCCTCCTGGGACCTGGAGTGAGGCTTGGAGATGTGGCTGTGGTTCTTCAAGATTTTTGTTTCATAACACAAAGACAAACTGAATCGCCCCTCCCCTTCCTCATCCAGGAAACACTGGGCCAGTCAGACACAAAGCTACTAATACAACGCAGGGTCCTTTCTTGTAGTTTAGTAGCCTGATCACAACAAGTTGCTTCCTGGTGCCAGCTTCCTTCCAGGCTCTTCCATTGCCTTGTTCCCCTAACTCCCAAGAATTTGACTAGGAATCCCCTTTGCACCTACGAGCATCTCTGAAACCAAGGAAAAGGAATCCGCTTTGGGCAAAACAAAGACATCAAGAGTTGTGGGCAGAGCAAGACTCCGCTCCAGACACAAAGCCCTTTTTCCTTGTCTGGCTTCCCTTCCCCCACAGCTCACATGCTGCCTGGGCCCAGCATGTGACTGGGCTAATCCCCATTTTCTGGGGCTGAATCGTCTGGATGCTCTTTGGCTGGCTCTGCAGATGGCCCTTCTCTTGGGCTAGGCTGTATAAAACCACACACTTTCTTCAGAAAAGAATTGGGGAAGAGATGGAGGAAGCAGCAGAAGGTAGCCGGGAGAGTGATGGTGTAGCATGTTTCATACAAGCTAGTTCCAACCCCCTCCTCTTCTCCTCCTGCTGAGTTGTTGCCTTATATGGAGCTAAATGCCCAGAACCTCCAAAGGCTTCCTTTCCTTAGCTTCACACAACTTGGAAGGACCAGCTGTGCCCCAGGCATTGGAGCACTTTGTGCCCCTGAGGTATCAAAGCTCAACCGTACTCTGTACAGTACGCCACATACACGGAGTTCCACCCCACTGGCTCTAGATGAACGGGCCTGGAATAATTACCATCATCCTCCATTCCAAAGCCAATCATCCTTCTGTAAAAGTAGCCCAGCCATCATCAGCATCCCTCTTCCCAGTTTAGGAAGATCACAGGGAAACTGTAGGATGAGTACATTTGAGGGTATTACCATAGAAATACTCAGATCCGTAACTCTCCCCGCCCCAACAAACGAGGGAGCAGAATGTAAAAAATAGCAAGGAAGGATGGGCTGACAGTGTGGAGCAAAGAATATCAGCAAGATGTGAGGGGGGAAAAATGAAAGTAGAACAGAACACAATAACAGAGTTGCGAGGGACCTTGGAGGTCTTCTAGTCCAACCCACTGCTCAAGCAGATGACCGTATCCCATTCCAGAAAAGTGGCTATCCAGTCTCTTCTTAAAAGCCTCCAGTGATGGAGCACCCACAACTTCTGAAGGCAAGTTTTTCCCACTGGTTAATGGTCCTCCCTGTTTCTCTTTAATTCCAGGTTGCTTCTCTCCTTGATTAGTTTCCATTCATTGTTTCTTGCCTTGCCTTCTGGTGCTTTGGAAAACAGGTTGACCCCTTCTTCTTTATGGCAACCCCTCAAATTGTGGAACACTGCTATCATATAGCCCCTTAGTTCTTCTTTTCATTACACTAGGTAGCTCAGCAGGAGATAGCTGAGCTGCCTAACCTAATTAACACAAAGAGGAGGCCACAGAGTAGCAGCTTTTGGAAGGGGTGATGGCTATTGTGCTATTGTCCTAACTCCCCCTCCCCACAAGCTAACGTATAAGCATTGCATTCCTTACCTGAATTCACTTGGGCAGATCCCCACAGAAGCCCTACAGGATCTCTGCCTGCATTCCAGGAGACCCTGGCAGCAAAATCTTTCTTCTCACACAATAGACAAGCATGGTGGTCTCCCCAAAGCCTCCACAGGGTGAACAGGTGAGCAGGACAGAATTCCCCTCTGCCTCCTCAGCGAGTTCAGCACAGCACTTTACTTCTTCCCTCATGCATGCAAGGTCCTTACCTGAAGATGTTTCGGCGGACACTGGAGCCATGACACGAGGCTGGTGGCAGGGCTCTGCGATGGAAGACTGAGATGGGTGCTGGGTCGGGAAGCTGGCTCTGGGTCTGGGTGGGAATCAGGATGTAATCTCAGAAGCAATCCACAAAGCACTTGAAGGTGAGGCGAAAGAACCTCATTGATGGGGATTTACACCAGGGAAACGGGCAGTGGGTGAGAGTCTGGGCTGGGCCTTGAGCTCAGAAGCAGGCAGCACAGACCAGGCAGAGCATGTGCTCCATCCCTCAGCGCTGGCTCTGAGTTCTGCTGCTCTGAAGAGAATGGAGAGTGAAAGGCAATTGCATCTGCTTCTATTCCCCTCCCAGCTTGCATCTTATTGGCCACTGCTTCTTGCAGCAAGTGTGTCTGCTGCATTCTGGGAAATGGAGTCCACTTTGCTACCGGGTACCATGGAGATGCTTTAGGATGGAGCTAGACAGGTGGATGCGGGCTTGGTAGACGCAGGCCTTTGCACACTAAATATATAGGAGCAAAATAAGAAGGCGTTGAATGCTACAGGCGGGGAATTCTTTATTTGCAAGAAGCTAAGCGGAACAAGAAAACAGAAAGAGAAAAGGAAAGAAAACAAATAGCTTCTCAGTGGGATAACTGAATAAATCACCTTCCAGTACTTTCCAGAGATAGCCTGTCCTGCTTAATTAGAATGATTTCAATATATGCCCTTCCTAAATGTTGTTTTTAAGTTTGCATCTGCTGAGAAATTTTAAATGTCATCCTGTATGAGAAAAGGCAGGAAATAGAAACAAAGCTACTAATAGCTGTTTTCTGGCGAATTTGCAAAGGTTCCTGCCTGCAAATTGCTTAACAGCAATAAAAAAGTTACTTTACTGGAACAAAGTACATTTGAGGGAGACAGAAACAAACTTTTCTGTGTACTATTGGTGAGTTCATCTTTGTTTTCCAAATCACAATCCTTGCTCTTAGCTGCTGCTTTGAGACCTCTCTCATGCAGCAAGCTAAACTATAATTTGGGTTGTTCTATTTTGACCTAGCCTCTGTGTGAACACAGCAATTGAGTATGGTTGTATGGACCTAAAACTCACAAACCATAAACTTTTAGGTTTGTGACCTAAAAAGGATTCAAGAAATTAATTCACACACTAGTCCCAAAGGTGCTTTTTCATTAATTCACGCACTAGTCCCAAAGGTGCTTTTTCAAGAGGCAACTGGACTTTATGGTAAATCTTTGAAGCTTCTTGGATGAGAAGCTAAACATATTCAAAGATTTACCAGAAAGTCCAGCTGCCTCTTGAAAAAACACCTTTGGGACAACCATGACCTGGATGACTGAGAAACTCCATAGACATTGATACACTAGGACTAGATTATGCCAAAATTATTTCAAGGTTCTAGTAAAACATACAGTATGCCTGCAAGTTGGAGGCACTATATTAAAAAAATAAACTCCATAACTGCTCTAAGAGAATTTTTTTTTTTTAATAATGCTGCCTGAAAATTAGAAAATTTCTGCTCTGGCATTTTTAGAGCGCATCTGTTGGGAATGAATTTTCAAAGCTGTTAAGTGTGTATTTAAATAGACCTTTCTGTGGCTTGAGTTTTGGACGAAAGATTGTGTGCAAGTAGTCCTCGACTTACAACCACAATTGGGACCAGAATTTCTGTTGCTGAGCAAGGTGGTTGTTAGGTGAGACACACCAAATTTTATGACTTTTATATGCCACGCTTACGTGAATTAAAGTGCAGCAATTGTTAATGAATACATGATGGTTAAGCAAATGTCTTCTTCCGTTATCTTTGCTTGTGAGAAGGGAAGGTTGGGAAGGTTTTAAATGACAATCACAAGACTCTGACATGCTGCAGCCATCATAAATACGGTACATGTTAGTTAATCTTGGGAATGCTACAACGGTCATAAGTGCAACTGTCAGTTGTAAGTCACTTTTTTCAATGCATTTGTAACATTGAACAGTCACTAAACAAATGGTTATAAGTCAAGGACTACCTGTAAACCGTTCCGAAGTTCCACATCTGGGAAGATTAAAATCTAGGAGTCTTGATGCAACGGGAGTAACTCTTGCCTACACCCAAACAAACTGGGATCCTCAGACCCTTTTCAGTAATTTGCCTTTTTTATTTTCAAATTCAGTACTGATGAATTCAGTAGATTATCTGAGCTCCAGGGCTCTGTTAAAGTCCTTCACATTGTATGCTATTGACATTTATTTAAAACTCATGTTGGTTGATGTTTTGTTTGTGTGTTTTTAAAGCTCGACACCATTCTGTACCCCATTTCATGCTACAGGAAAGAAAGAACTCAGGTAAATAGGGAAGTTAGGACAGGTTTTACTGAAGGGAGTGAGCTCTTGCAAATAAGAGTAAATTAAGATACCATCTTTGGAACAGACCCAGATCATTGCTATAAAAATCCATTAAATTATTGCAAACTGCTGACTAGAATTCTTACATCTTAGTCATGAATTTAATGGGTGGCCTTTCCTCAATTATATATTGTCATGTTATCCACCCAGCTCTGGGTTGGCAGAGAATTACACACTGGAATGAAATTGGCTGCTATGGTGATCTCTACCAAGTTCCCCGGTTTCCTTCCAATGTAACGGGTGATAATCATGTTTGATTAGATGCATCTCAAGGTTGTCTTTGAGCAGTGGGAGAATAAAGAAAAGTGCACAGTTTTAACCCTGGATCAGCCGAGGATGATATATAAGCACTGTTCCTACTAGCACTGATGATGTTACCTAGGTAATAAAACGCCTGCAAAGAAACAACTAAGCTCAGGTCTGAAACCGTTCATTTCAGCCCAGAACTACAAATATTCTCCTGTAATGATATAAGCCTCTTTCTCTCTCTCATTTAAAGAGGGGCAGTGGGAAGAGAGGGATGATGAAAGCAGTGACATGTTATCAAAGTGCAAGCTGCTTGTCTTGTATATGCAGTACATGTTATGATTTATGGACCCTGTCAGTTAAAAAAAAAAAGACTGGCGGGGTCCAGGAAGAGAGCCTTGTCTGCCATTACCCGTTGGGACATCCTTCCCCATCCCCCAGAGGTGAAGCTGGCCCCCACTCTTACTTTCCAAAATATCTAAAGACTTGGCTCTGTGGGATTGTTTGGGGCCTTCAGAGGAATATGCAGCCATAAGGCTGGTCAAAGGCCTTCTCCCGCCTTTTTTTAACGTCGAATTTTATTTATTCCTAGTTTTAATTGCCTCTTAATCTAATATTTGCATACAGATTGTTGTTGCTTTTTAGGCTTTTATGTCTTATTTTTATACCGCCCAGTCTTTCTTTGAGGGAGATGGGCGATTTTTAAATGGGGGTGTGGGGTGAGGAAACCTGTGAATAAATAAATAAATATAGAAAAGGCTGTAACTTCCATCACAACAATGCAACCCTCCCTGCTGGTTGTCTTTTTGACAAAAAACCCTCCTCAGTGTCCTTCCCTCGAAGGCTTCCATCATGGAAGGTGAGAGGAAATAAAAGATGGTTGGGCACGTTTTGTGGCCTCATTGACTGGAAGGGGAAGGTGAGGCCTTAGCAAAAGTTGGTGTTGCTTAATCTCATTAATCTCTTCCTGCATTACTTATCCTGACCTACCCTTTATAAAGAGCGCTTTACGCACAGCTCTCCAGATCTTCAGTTCCCCCAAATCTGCTACTACTGCTGCTGCAGAGGATTGTGGGGGGGAGGGGGGATTCTCAGGACTCATTAAATAGTGGGAGGACAAAAAGCAATCCATGAATGAAGGTCTATTTGGGCAGCATCAATGGACACACACACACACCCTACAACAAACCCTGTTTCTTGTCAGCCAGGGCAACACTGGCCCATATCACCAGCGCCCTCCCCCAAAGCTCAGGGGGAATTTTGACCAGGAACACATTCCCACAGATGCCTTACCCTGTTGCCATGGTGTCCAGTGAGCAAATACATCCACTCCAGGGTCCGTTTCCATGTAACAGGCAGCAGCCACATTCACAGGGCAAAGACACAGCTCCTTCTTCTGGGTTGAGCACTAGTCCATGGTTTGAGGGGTGGAGGGAGGAAGAAGGCGGCTATGGGTTGATCTGGCTGTCCGAGGAAAAAAGAGGCCAAGGATATCTCGGTGGCTAAACTTCCAAACACAATGTATCTTATAGCCAGATAAACGTGTGTGAGAACCACAGGCGTGGCCAAAGGCCTTGGGTGCTGCCCAAAGATGTGGTGCTGGGCAGTTTTCATATTTTTGGGCTAATCCAGGAATGAATGGACTTGCTGCCTTGACTTCTGTGCTGAGGAATCCATGCGTGGTAGGGATTTTTGGGAAGGCTCCCATGGCAGACCTTCCATGCAAAGTTGGCAGATCTCCTCCTGCTTGTAACATCAGGGGATGGGCCCACACAACACTCTTGATCCCGATTGCAGAGTTAACCCATGTTCTGGGATTCACACAATGCACTCAGCCGTAAACTAGCGAAAGGAGCTAGACGTTCCAAAGGAGCTTTTTCACCTTTGGACTTTCTGGTTTTTCTTTGAAGACGTTTCACTTCTCGTCCAAGAAGCTTCTTCAGTTCTGAAGAAAGAAAACCCAGAAAGTCCAGCTGCCTCTTGAAAAAAGCACCTTTGGGACAACCATGACCTGGATGACTGAGAATCTCCATAGACAAAGGAGCTGGAGTTTGCTACAACACAAAGACTCAGCCCCTGCTTCCTACAAACTTTATTATACAGGTAGTCCTCGACTTGCAACAGTTCATTTAGTGACCATTTGAAGTTACAACGGCATTGAAAACAGTGACTTATGACCGTTTTTCACACTTATAACCGTTGCAGCATCCCCATGGATGCTTGACAAGTGGTTCATATTTATGACGGTTGCTGTGTCCCAAGTTCATGCGATCATCTTTTGGACAAGCAAAAACCATGGGGAAGCCAGATTCACTTAACAACCGTGTTACTAATTTAACAACTGCAGTGATTCACTTGACAAATGTGGCAAGAAAAGTAGTAAAACGGGGGGAAATGCAAGTTCTCACTTAGCAGCAGAAATTCTGGGCTCAATTGTGGTCGTAAGTCAAGGACTACCTGTACAAATAAAGCTTTTTGTATACCCCCATTTGTTCCCCTGGCACCTTGTGGGAACTCAGGCAGATGACATATCAGTTTGCCTGTGGAGGGGAGGGAGAAACCCTCAGTCTCTTACTTCCTTGTTGCACTAGGCCTTTGAGTCTCAGTCGGCAGAGTGGAGTGCTTGGCAGGACAAGTTACAGGAGCAACAAAGCAGGAGTCCAATGGTGGCAACCTCTAATTTTTGAGTGATATGACTCCCAGTTTCCCAATAACTATCCTTATGTTCAAATTTGCACTTTCTCCTAATGCGTTTTCAAGGGAAGTTTATTTGTCATCTCTACGAGCCAACATGGATAACCAGAATGGCAGTGAAGTCTTCTCATCACTTCCAAACTCTCAATCTTCACTGTTATTTAGCTTCCATCTCATCCCCCCCCCCATTCCCTAATTGCTAGTTCTTCCTTCTTTTGAACCCACATACAGTATTAGGATGCCAGCCATATTGATTGATTAGAGGCAATGGAATATTTACGTCATCACATTTAAAGGGTGCCAACTAGGGAAAGGCTGCTCTAAGCCCTGCCTTTGCTTTTTGATCAATACAGGAAATGTACATTGGGGATGGTTCCAATCAGAGGACTAATCAATAGACATTGTGGAGCAGAGAAGCTAAACAAAAAAGCAAAAATAATGGGTTACCTACAAACAGAAAATTACAAAATGTTTGGGCAGGTCAAAAGATTTTGCAAGTGACTCAGGACACTTGAATGATAAAAGCCTTTCGTAGAAGTACTCAGGAAGTCAGTTAGACTTCTGAGATGGTAGTCTTCTTAATGTATAAATTACATCTTGGCAAATTTTCAGAGTTCTAGTACTGCTATTTGTGTACCCATATACGTTAAAACAGCCTCTTCTGAATCTTTACTTTTTCTTAAACAAAGGCCTCTTTTTATTCCTTACGGCAATTGGATTTTTTTCAAATTTCTGCATACTGTTTAAAAAGCAGGATTTTCCCTGAAACATGTCCCTACGTGAAGTTTAATTGTTACTAAGTAAGAAAAAGGGTATTTTCAAACATGCTAGCTAATTTGGCAATTTTGGACTTTAGGACACTATCACAACAGCTATGGAGAACGGGAACTCTTTTATATTCCACTGTATTGTGCTTTGTAGTAAGATGGCCAAAAAAACAAAAGAAAAAACCCCAAGGTAAGAACCTTGCATTGTGCATACTCCTTCCATAAATCATGGGGAAAAAGAAGCTATACAAAATGATCTGGAGTGGGAAGATTGCAGCTTGAACTATCCATTAAATCGGGGGTGTCCAACATGGCTGGAGTTGAAGTCCACAGTTCTTAAAAGTTGCCAAGATTGGACAACCCTGAATTAAATCTTACACCATAATACAATGTGTTGAGGTTTAAGGCTGGGTTAAGATTCCATTTATATAATATGGAAAAAAATATACCTTCACTACTGCAAATAGGCAACATATTATTGATTATATTTATGTCCTGGCCATTCAACTGGAGGTAGGAGGCAATAGGGATCTTCTTACATTAAATTCCTACAGCAACCACTGAGATAGTCTTAATTGTATTACAAATGAGTTTCCATGGCTGAAGATGATAAATTTTAGACTCTGAGCCCCCCCTGTACTAATCCATCCCTTTAACTGCTGCTATTGCTTTCTTTTCAGCGCTGTAAATACACGTAGTGAAACAAAGCGTGTTGTAGAAACACATTCAGTTCATAACAAGAACAAGGATATCCTGAAAACCCTGATTTATAGCACTTCCTTTGGCTAAGAGTATCAAACTTACCAAAAAGATAGAAAGAACGAAAGTTTTAACTCTGGTTGTAATTAATTCTACCCTGGTAACCTGGCTGGTAATCTATGCCAGAGTGGCATGGCAGCAGACATAATGCACACAAAAACAGAAACAAGCAGCATTAAGTAGAATTTAATGACTCAGGACCGAAGACAAACACCAACTTTATACAAACGGAGAGCAAGACAAAGGTTTCCTAGGAAAAGGCCCCGGACAGCCTCATTTGGTTACAGCAATTCTGAGGGTGGGTGAAAGGGAGAAGGAGCCAAATATTTAAATAGTGATAGTGCTGGCAGTGGCTTTTCAACCCAAGGGAACCGCGAGGGACTAAAAACAAAAATTCCAAAAATTACTGAAGATAGCCGAATAGTAGAAGGCTCTGTAGCCTTTGTGAAGGATGAGAGGGGAATAGCAGGTGCCAACCATCAGCCTCCTTCTCCCTGACAAGATGACACAATGCTGGTGAAGGGACCGAGAGAAAGAGGGAGCTCTGCTTCTCTCCCACGGGCCGATTCTACGGCCAAGACGGTGTCCTGAGCTCAGGCTGCTGAGGAAGAGGAGATTGGGAGAGCAGAGGAACAGGCAGCGAGGGCATGGAAGTTTGTGAAGCAGGCACCGTGGTATGGCAAAGTGGGAGAAGGCCTCTTAGGGGCAGAGACCAATGGCCCCTTCCCCCTTGGCTTACAGCAGGGCAGGCTGGGCATGTGGAAGCGCATCTGCTGCCTCTCTGTGCAGGATGAACCTAACCAGAGCTCGGAGGGAAGTGGGAGTGGGAGGACAGGAGCTTCGGGGATTGCACTGGGGGCTCACAAAATTTCCCCCCTGCATGCCGGCACAGAGCAGCTTCGGGCAGGGGACACAAAAGGGACTTTTCCGTCTGGCAGGAGAGGAGGAGGCATGGGTGGAGCAGAAAGTGCTTGTGTGCTCAAAAAAAGGGTCACAGCAGCTCCTCCTCCTCCTTCTCACTGCAGGGGTGCGCCAGGGAGTGGTGTGGGGGAAGCCACGAAACCAAGCCTTCGTATGTACACTGCCCTCCTCCAGCACACCATGCTTTTAGTCAATTTCCTCCATGTTGCTGTAGGATGGTGCGGGGTGCTCTGCAACCCCTTCTGGTGCCAGGGCAGGAGCAACATCAGTTGTCAGGCTGGGTCCAAAGGAGGGAGAGCTAATGCCCTGCAAATAGAACAAAAGATTAGACAGAAACAATAAAACAGCAGAGGATCCACAAAAGTTATTTATTTTCTCTCTTCCTGCCCCCCCCCCCACTTCCCACAGAGGGATTCAAGCAAAAACATTTTGTTCCATTAGAATCTGAAATGATCAAAAGCCACAAAGTACATATTTATGTATCAAACTAAGTTAGGCTTTTATTAAAACAGAATGTGGTAGAAATAATGATAGTCTTGAAAGATGTGTGATGTTCCAGAACAAGGACCAGACTATTACTTAGAAGCCTGTGAAATTTGTCTGTGAAATATAGTTTAATTTCAGTTTGTATTACATATGGTATTCACACGCACAGACGCACCCACAGCCTTACCAATAAGTCCCTTCTGTATAACTCCTGCCTAATCACTTGTTAATCTAGGATTGTCTGATCTAGTCTGTACAATTTGGAAAACTCTAAGCCAAAGTAACTTAATTCTACAACCAAAAAATAAAAATAAAAATAAAAATAAAATGGAGGGAGGCAATCTGTATGAATTATACAAATTAGCTCTTATGATGTCCCAAAGGTGCTTTTTTCAAGAGGCAGCTGGACTTTCTAAACCAGAAAGTCCAGTTGCATCTTGAAAAAAGCATGGGGACAACCATGACTTGGATGACTGAGAATCTCCATAGACATTATGCTGAAGATATTCTACTACTAGCAGAGAAGGGCAAATAGCTTCAACTTTACCTACTGACTGTAAAATCCAATAAACCATTCAGCTTTACATTTTTTCACCCCCTACATTTAAAAGCATTTTTGTAGTTCTTAAATCAATAAAGGCAAACCAAGCCTGGTTGTTTAGGTTAAAACAAGAGAACCATCTTGGGGTCAACAGTCACATTCCATTATGTGGGCAGGGCAACTTGTTAAACTACTTGAATACAATGGGGAGTGCCCACATATTTTGCTCTCCTTTTCTTCTCTCTTCAATTTCTCTCTCTCCTGTT